CCCCCAAATTTGTCACGGTTTCAGTTTCACTGGGAATTTCAGCAAAGTCTGACATTGTGCCGGAGTCATTTCCACCGTATGATAACTTGTAAAAAAATGATTACAGATCAAATAGGAGAAAATCCTCTTAAAGGAAACAGGTAGCCTTACAGTCAAGAATTAGAACGTATTTCATACACAGTGAGATTTACACTGTGAGGTAATATCGTTCGTGTCTCTGACTGGACGAGCGATGTATTTTCACAGTCATTTGCCTCCAATCATTGAAATGTGTCGATCAATAACATAAATCTCAGTATGTATGAAATAAATACATCATCTGAGGCGGATCCAGGGGTGGTTCGGGTGGTTCGGTCGAACCCCCTAAATTTTCCCTCAAAATACTGGAAATCATGTTTCCGAAGACCTAATTTTCAAAATCTCCCGGGGGAGCATGCCCTCAGACAATTCTCCGAACTCCCCTTGACTAAATCTTGGATCCGACCCAGATCATGCCATGGAAAGTGCTCGAACGATTTTTATCCACTCGTTACGATGCATCAAAAAAACACACTCGTTTGCTGCGCTCACTCGTTCGGGATTTTTCCTCTTCTTGGGTCTCTTTATTTCTGTAAATTCTAGTGGCTTTCGTTTGTTGGCTTCGAGATGCATTCGTGGAACACGCTGGGGATCGTACCAAAATTTCAATAGATCATCGAACTGCACCTGATCCTCAAAAGGGTCATCATCAAAGTTCATTCGGGACAAAATTTCCAAATATGAGAGTGGTAAATAGTTCAAAATAGTAACCAGGCTGATATGAGATTGAAAACCCACTAAAATGTCGCCTCGTGAATTTGCAAAGCACACCCCGCATAGTGAGTCGTCAAAACACATCTCTCGTACAAGCTGATTATCGGTGTTCCATATCTTGACGTATTGATCTTCACTGGATGTTGCAAATAAACCAAGCGTCGAACAACAAGACAGCTGTTGGATAAGAGAAATGTACATATGTCGGTAAAGTGGCTTAGGTTTAAGTCGATATCACTGAGACATTCAGCTCCGACAATCTCATCACTTATGCATGTGTTTGACACTGTGGGCCAACTATGGTAAGAGCAAACACCGCTCAGGGAAAGGTAATAATAGGAGCGAGAGCAGAAGTTCTATAACTTAAAGAAGAATATAAAGCTGGTTTGTACGAAATTATTTGAACCTATGCCCTCTGCAATACCGATGCAGTGCTCTACCAACTGAGCTTACAAGCCAACTGGGAGCTGGTCATTATGTTGGTCAGTTGACCACAGTTCAAATATATGATTTCATATATTCACAAACATTGACTCATCACTTCACGGGTTTATTAAAAACCAACATAATGACCAGCTCCCAGTTGGCTTGTAAGCTCAGTTGGTAGAGCACTGCACCGGTATCGCAGAGGTCAAGAGTTCAAATCCCGTACGGGCCTGAATTTTTTTCAGGCCTTATTTCCACTATTACATAAGCAGGGTTTATTACTGGTAGGATCGCTTTCATACATTTTATGAAACCGGAGTACACATATATGATTTTCATATGATGTTCAAAATAAAACTGGTTATTACCACAACTAGCCTTTGGATTGGGTTCTAGGTCACATTTAGTTACTCCTTGCCGTCTAGAGTATTGTAAAACTTTACAATACTGAGAGCCACCCATGCTGTAAATTTCCTAACAAGAATACTAGACATCAGTTTCCGCTCGGAATTCAGTTCTTCTTATCAAAATTATTTTTATATCTTACCCCGTTGATGAGTGCAGAGTGTCCTTCATCTTTGGAATGCATTAGGAATTCATGGGACTTTTTAGAAGTGTTAAAAAGGCTGATTTTCCTTTTTTCGTCGGCCTGTACTCTAGAAAGGTAACCAAACAAAAGAAAAATTTACACAGGCTGTTTGCAAGTCACGTTAAAGTAAACTTTCTAGCTAAATTCTTTGTTTATTTTCAAGTGGGATATTGAGCTTGAGTAAGTATCTTTCTAAGAATCTGTCTACATTCTTAAAGGAAAGAGGCTCATGAGAAAAAAATACACTTTTCGTTTTGTTGTAACTATCACTTTGCACCTATTGTTTTAAAGCAATTACAGGAATTCTTTGTATCATTTCCCTCTACATCAATCCCAAAAAATTGAAATGAAATCAACCTGCACATGATAACATTGTTATCAGTCGTTGCTAAGCATAAAGTGTTGCCTGCCATGGCAAGATCTCTTGGGGCCTGCAGCAATTTCACAAGTGCAACTTGTAGAATGGAAACTTGATTCCTTTCCAGGTGGATAAGCTGCCATATTTTGACCGTGCAGTCGGTACCGCATGAAATCAGGTGATCACGAGACGCAAGGCTATCGCGTGACTCGGTGCAAGAGGCAGAAACTCTTAAGAAAGTAATCGGGCTTCGGTGGGCTTGAATTTTCTCTCTCATGTAAACATCTAATCGACAAGAAAATGAAGCATCACACACTGATTACACCGACGAGTAACTTTAAGGATTTTTATTGTCCATATGAGGGTGAGGACGCAAGCTTCACAAACAAATAAGTACGATGGACGATCCTCGCAGTAGATAGCGCTATTTAGGCAATGGCGAAAATCAGACCTGAAAAAAAAAATCAGGTCGGTACGGGATTCGAACCACTGACCTCTGCGATACTAGTGCAGCGCTCTACCAATTGAGCTAACACTGAGAGCAGGCCGTTACTTAACGGCCTGCGGTCAGTGGTTCGAATCCCGTACAGACCTGATTTTTTTTTTCAGGTCTGATTTTCGCTATTGCCTAAATAGCGCTATCTACTGCGAGGATCGTCCATCATACGTATCTAATACCGCAGTTAAAAAATATATGAACTTCATATATTCATTGTATCTCACAAACAAATAAGATGGCAAGTTTGCTCAGTAGCTTTCAGTATTCCAGAAGTTTATCGGTAGGATTGGGAAGTCTTAGCTTTGACCCGGTGGGATCGGATTTTTTTCTTCGTCTTCCACCCACGCGAAGTTTAGGAACTTCCTTTATTTGGTTATATGACAAACTAATCCGGAATCATTCAAGTTCATTCATCGCTGAACCACGTGAGTTGGTGCGTTCCTCACTCACAATTGATTCATTCACTCAAAAAGGTGTCTGTAGAGTACTGAATATCCTGCGTCATTGAACATTCAAACAATCTGTTCCACCCTTTGACTGGCAAAAGCATCAACAAAAGATGATTCAAATCTGTTAAAAAAACCAGACTTTATCTGTACATTGAATAAAGGCTGATATTTTCTAAAAAAACTGTTTGAGGCTGCGTCGGTGGTGGTAACGAAATAATTTGAATATATCAACAAAGTTGAAATGGTAAATTGGCCACCGTTACGATTATAAAAGCTGACGTTTCGAGCGTTAGCCCTTCGTCGGAGCGAGCGTTAGCCTTTCGTAGAGCGTTAGCCTTTCGTAGAGCGTTAGCCCTTCGCTCCGACGAAGGGCTAACGCTCGAAACGTCAGCTTTTATAATCATAACGGTGGCCAATTTACCATTTCAACTTTGTTGATATATTCAAATTATTTATCTGTACATTGATTGCAGACGATCACTTTCACTCGCAATATAATTCTCTTGAAGAATGAATCGACATGAAAGAGGTGAACAAGATACATAGTTAGACCGCCTAATAAAATATTTCAGTCCAAACTTTTGTTTACTGTTTTACCTTTGCCGCTTATGAGTGATATCTGTCCATTGAAATGTCCTGCGAAGAGTAGCCCTGACTGCAAAGGTAGTTCATTTTCATGAAGGGCAAACTCAGCATTAACCAGGGCTAGGCTGCAGACTCCTTCATCAGGGCTATCGGGCATCCACAACTGGTGTGCACTGGGGAGAGAGACAGCCCTCGTTCAGCTACATTCAGTACTAAAAGTCTTTTGTTGGACCGTCAGGAACAGCGCGCGTTGTCAAAACTTTATTTGTTTTGACTGTCAATCTTCCCTTTTTTCTTTTCTATTATTAAGACGCAATCATATGATTTCTCGTGTTGTTTGAATTAAACGAGCACTTGTAAATTTTCTTTTTTGTTGGTATGAAAATTTTTATCGTGCTTAGTTATACAAAATTACACTTGAGATCTTATCATGACCCACACAACAAGGGAAAATAAGTTGAATGAAAAACTCTGTTCCTGGATTAAGTAGCTTGCATAGAACTCTTTTCCTCTAATTCTCTCATCTCGTAAAAAATCAAACAAACCATGGGGAACATTTCACTTTCTAAATTCTGAAAACTTCTTAAGCATTTTCAAACCTGGGCACCATGTGCAACAAAATAAGGAAAAAAAAAATGATTGAAATCAGGCGGGCTCAGAAGGGTCAATGGCAACAAAGCGCAAGTATTCATTTCAGTTTAGAAGAACAATTTGTATGAATTCCTGGTATCATCTTCCATGCGGACAGGTCCCATGGTGTAATGGTTAGCACTCTGGACTCTGAATCCAGCGATCCGAGTTCAAATCTCGGTGGGACCTGTGTTCGTTTGTCTCTTTTGTTTTGATTCGATTGATCTGAAATGATGATCATCATGCAAGTAAGCCAACAATTTTTTTTTCTTGCCCTATCCGGCACTGGCAAGTTTCGTCTTTAAACCTTGAATAAGGCATTGATAATTCTTTTAAAAAAATCTTGCATGTTTAGGTCCATACTGGTGGTATAGCGCTGAGTATAGATTCCCAACAAGCAGTTAACCCGGATTCGATTCCCGGCCAACATAGCGATTTAATCTAAAGATAACATGAATTTTGATTTAAATTTTGTTTGATTTTAGGTCCTCCAAATCTATAACGACCTGTGCGACCCTTATGTTCACCTTAAATTAGTGAACATGAAACAGGCTTGTTTTAGAATTTTATTTTCCTTATTACTTTGCTTCGAAACCAATCGAAGAATTTCATGCATTTCAGGAATCCTGCCGGCTGATCAACAGTTATACATTTTTATTTTTCACCTTTCGATTCGTTATCAATGTCTTGTCGATATTTAAAACCACTTTACTTTGAACGTTTTCATCGTTCAACTATGAGTTCCGTGCGTTCGATTTCCATCTCAAGCTTTGTGTCTTCGCATTCATTTTATATGATGCAGGTGTTTTTTTATCTACTTAACTGCGTAACCTGTTACGTGGACTAGCATACTAGCTGTATTTTCGTTGAGTGAACGTGAACAGCGTCGGTGGTATAGTGGTGAGCATAGCTGCCTTCCAAGCAGTTGACCCGGGTTCGATTCCCGGCCGACGCAGCTACTTTTTCCTTACAAAGCAAGAATTTCTAAGTCATTTTTGTCGAAGTTAGGTTCTCCACCTTTGTGTCCTTGATGTTGTCCCTTGCGTTTTTTAGGGATATTGACCCAGAACTTCATAGTTTTGCTTTCCTGTGATTCAGGAGGTAGATATAGATATGAGGAGATTTTCATCAGCAACCAATTATAAAGCGCGAAATATTCAGTTCATTGTGTACGAGCATTCATATTCCCGAAAATATCTCTACGAAGTTTCCATATCAATTTCTTCTAAGCATTAAGGAGGTTGAGAGGTTTTGGTGCAGCGCTTAGTTATGACGATTTTTCAATACTAAAAATTTCTTTGCCTTACCAACACGGGTTTGTGTCACTCTCGAATACCAACACTTCTCTGGTTCCTAGCACGAGGTAAATCTTCTCTTGTCTAGGATCATGAGCAACGTCCACCACATCAGTTGCCATGGTTGTCATGGGCAGGAGAGTTGTAAGCTCGTACCCATGAACTGGAGATACCAACCGCACTCCACCATCCTCAGCATGAACTAACACCCGAGAGGGGTACCCTGGGGATTTTATTCTAGTGCATTTTCTAATCCTCGAACTCAGAGCAGTAAAAAGACTGTGAAATAAGTTGAGACTCCATATTTTGATGTGATGGTGCGAGTGATAGTACAGTAGGTCGTCACTGAGTAGTTTCATATTGATCACCTCTTCACCTGTTTCCAATTTGAAAGTTTGTGCGCATGTATCGAAGTTCCATACTCTGATGGTTCTGTCCAAGGAACTAGACAGTAAGAGAGGTTTTCTTGGGTGAACTAGGAGCTTTGTGACCTCAGAAGTGTGTCCTATATTGTAAAGTGGGAAATATTATTGATTTAAAACTTGTGCTGAGAACAGAGCTTCTTCAAGATTAACAGGGACATTGTGTCATTATGGTTGATGCCAGTTGATCTATTGTTATGATGTTATAGACTGGACTGAAAATATACGTCGTTTGTGATTTTAACTCACCTAGAAACTGAGTTACCAAAGGAAAACCGTTAAGGCTGGTGCTCCACGCTCGAATTGATCCATTTTTGTCACCTAAAGAAAATATCGTAGGTAATAGACAGCGACAGATCGTTAGCTACATGATCTTCCCTTGTGGAGAGATAAGGCAAGTCATTATGCTACAAGAACAAAAATTGGCCGAGATGTGTGAAAAATCAACCTCTCAGCTCGATGAATTAACTTCATGACAATATTAAATCTTTGCACCATAGGGTGAAACAACTTTAAGAAACAAACTGAACCGCAATGGAGACTCGAACAGTGAAAACAAAACAGAGTGTTCAGTGATTCTTGACGACACGAAACTGGGACAGTAACTTACTAGATCAATGAAGAAAGAAATGACAGGCAGGGGAATAGAATGAACCTGTAAACAGATTTAAGTGTGTTCATCTGAGGGGTAGTTGATTAGCATACATCTGTAACGACCTATTGTGTTAATGAAGACAGTCGTCCGTCATGCCATCCTCCTACCTGTGATAAAGAAACTGGCAGGGTTGTAAAACACACAAGTGGTGAAGGAAAAGTCACATTTCTTTTGAAAAAAACATCTCTCTGTGTTTTTGTGAAGATCTATCATGGATATCCTCACATCAGATATCGCCAATATCTGCTTAGACATATTATCAATCGTCAGTGACATGACCCAGTCAAACGGCTTGAAAGAACAGCTTATTAACTGGCCGGGAATTAAGGGATCTTTTTGACCAACAGAGAACTTCCATGTCATTATTCCGCCGGCGACTCCAGTGACGATTTCATCTCTTATCTCATTGTAAGCTAGGCTGAGAACTGTTTTGTTTACCGATGTGGTAGATACAGGGCAAAATTTAGCGCTAAAGACTCTGATGGACAAATCATTGCAATACGTGATATAAACCCATCTTCTTTGGGAAAACAAAATATGCACAAACTTGAGATCTGTGGAGACTGATTTGATGCCATCTGCTAAATTTCCTGGCTGTTTTTCCTTCGAAAATTTCCAGATGTTTATTTCGTTTTTCTTTCCGACACCGTGATGAGATATAAAGCTGTGTCCAGTCCCGTTTTTAACGTGTCTTACGACTCGCAAGCGTTCAGGATTCCAGAGATGCTTCTGTAATTGGAGTCCATAAGGAATGCTTACACAGAAGGGCGCGTCAGTTTGGTTTGATACAATGTCCTCGATCTGCGAGAAGACGTCGGTCCATGGAGGAATCTTAGATTTAGATATAACTGTCATTGTGCAATCAAGGATGTTCAAGAAAGCAGCGTACAGCGTTCACTTTTTATGTTATCCTTTAAGTGCTTGTGGGGCCCTCACTGCTTGCTCTTTTCGTTGGGTAAACAATTTTAACAACGAACTATAAATGCAAAACATCTGGAAAATTTACCCGGGGATGTTTGACGCTAACAGTTGAAACATGAAGGTGGAAGCCATTCAGCATTGTATACGCAACATTCTAATTGACGCGAGGGCAACTGTGATCTATACCGGCATTGGGTTCGAGTCCGTGCGCGTGCTTGCGTGAGACAGTGCATGCTTTCTCTCTATTCTGATAACAAAATTGAAAGTTTTCTAAGATATACACGAATGTCATTTTCTGCAGATGTTATACAAGACCAGGACAGGTTTCGAGCTCGCCTAAAATGACTTAGTTTAATTATGAAACTTTATTGCTGATCACTTTTTCGAATGTACTTTTTCAAAATGCAATTGGGAATCGCTATTTCTTTGAACTGAGGTTTGGAAAACTATTACACCAGGGTAACACGTAGCTTCGCTCCATCGCAAATTCCTCACCTAAGAGTTCGTTCTAGTCCCGAAGAGTGCGCCCCCTCTCTCAATGTGTTAAAAAAATTTCGCAAATTCAGATCATCACACCAACTAAAATCGTTATATACCTCGGCAGTATTTCGTTTCAATCATATTTCTCTTTCACCTCTACTTTGATCGTGGAAAGAAAACTTAAAGAAATTCCCAAAATCAGTATCACCATTCAAACAACCTCATTGCTCTTTTTTATTCTCCAAGCACAGTACAAATTGTTCCCTCCTAAAGAAAAGGCGAAGTTTCTGAAAGAAAAAAAAGGAAAGAAAAAAACAAACATTGTGGTGGTGCGACAGTAAAGGGCATTACGAGATAAGTTAACTGGTTTTATAACTGAGCTGGTAACGCAAATTGGCCTTTGCTTGACCTAACGCCCGAAACGTCAGCATCAGAAATTCACTATCTTTATAAACTTAGTTGATAAAACCAAATTGTGTTGTTCCCTCCTGACTCCATTTACAGCCAGGAAATGATTTTAAAGGGCGGACTTTGCAAGAATTAAATATGTTTTAGCGAGCTTTCCTTGCTCGGAATTTAATTTTATCTGAAAGCTGCTTCAGCGATGCTGAACGTGACGCACATTTAATAGAGACTCTAAAATTTTCCTATCAAATGGGTGCAGAAGCCAATCAGATTATTTCGAAATGATAACTACGTTAATATGACATTTCCTGAACTGTTTACAACGATTTCTGATCTGTGGTCTAAATACCAAACCGACATCTTCCAAAGTGAAGAAAACGTGGCCAGTGGCTGTTAGAGCATTTAATGCCACTAAATGGCGAAATATTTCAAAATGAAAAGTTATGAGGTAGCGTAGGACGCTTTAAGTATTCAGTGGAAGTAATCTTCGGGAGTTAAGGAACTGAGTGGGTGAGTGTGGGAAGGCAATTCGACTGAAACACGCACGCTCATTCCTTGGCGGGTAAACATGTTTACTCACTCAGCTAATTGCTTAGCTTCCCATGCGCAGTTTGTAAGGAATTTCCTATACTTCGCACAACTCGAATTTGTGTTAACTCTACTTGCTTGCAAAGGACAAACATTCAGGAGGAATTATTGACAGCCAAGTGGGTCGAAAGTTACCAAGACTTAATACTCTGCCTCCCAATCAAGTTAAAAGGCTGATAAACAGGAAGTAAAGAGTCTATGGAAGTGAAAGGTAAGATACTGACAAACATATTTAGACACTTATTCAAGATGTAGACCAACTATACATACAAATGTACAAATAAAACATAAAAAATGATGTACATCTTGAGAAGAGAATTATGAGGTCAATCCTATCTCAGAGCGCCAAGATAACTGACAACGGAGAAACTTGAAATTCAGACAAAACACATTATGAAGAGATAACTGAGCCGCCTTGTTAAAAGCGATTAAAGTGAACGTCGCTTCAAGACTCCAAAATCAATGCATACTTAAAACAAATCTATTCTTTAGTAATTAAACTTGACTTGTGTATTATGTAAGGGAAATTTAAGCTTACTCGTTTTCGGCGGAAATGGTCTATCATATCATAGGTGATTCACGATACAATCTATAACTTTCGTGCCAGATTTCAAAGTTTCCATGTGTAAAAAAAAAAACAATGTTAGTTTATATTCTTGCTAATTCATCTACGGGAAAAAAGTGTTCGGGCGATTGTCACTTGTGTTGGAGTTCATTTCCAACATTTTCTTATAATCTTATTTAAGAAAAAAGTGATTTCATTTTGAAGGTCGGAAATGATTCATTGTTTAACTTGTCCGGTATGGCAGACAATTGCCTTTTGGAACTTTGAATTGAAATTATAGTTGCTAAGGATTGCGCTTGCTATTATTCAATCTAATGATTAAATGACTAAAATGACTAAAATGACTGCAATGAAACTGCAATCTGTTTGCCTGACTTCTTCGTAGATTTGACGCTCAAACTTGTCTGACGCGATATGCAAATTGTCAGCTCATTCCCTAGTAATAATTTGTAGCTATGAGTTAATTCTAGACCGGTAAAAGTGAGACAGAATAATGCAATAAATAGGTCAATACGGTAACCTATGATACAACTAGAGCAAAAGCTTGAAGTTTATACTTTCAAAGTAATTACGACATTTAAAAAATCTGTGTTCTGGATTGGTCATCTAGAGCTAATACTATTTAACTAATGGTTTTTATAAATGATTCAATTATCAGATAAGCTAGGGAAAGATTGTCGACGATTCAGGAGATCTTTGCTGGGGGTCTGGCACTAGACCCCTTGGCAGATTCGCGGGTTCGTATTGCTCAAGGCCTCATATTTTCCTGCGGGCGAAGAAAGCTTGTGCCGAAGCGCTAATGATGAGGGTCTGGTCGTTTATGACGAAGGCCTGCTCACTGGTACACAGCGGTCAAATGATTGCACATGAGGACTTAGATGTACAACTTGTTATTGTAAACATGGAGAATCTAGGTGAGACGTAGTTTTTCGCAGTTTTAGGGGAAATTTCGAAGTTTCTAAGGCCGAGACTTATACACAATATTGTTTTGGGTCTTTTAGACTTAACCCACTTTATGTTAGTTTACACACTCGTACTTTTTTGTTTACACTTTCTACGGTGGCGCGATGAACTCGTCCGTAAACTTGGCCGTGCTGGCTTGCTGTAGTCATTCTTTGTTGTGTTCATGGTGGAGTTGCCGGTAAACACCGAAGGAACTTTATGATGAAAAAGGAAGAACTACAAGAAAACAAGATATTTGTGACGATAGCAGATCTATGTTTACAGTGGACACTGTGTGTAGCATGAGTAGTAGAAAGGTTCTGTCATTTACCTTCGGCATTACCGAAACGAAGGCTTCGCTTTTAAAACAGTTTGGATATCTCATAAAATAAGACCAAGATTTAATCTTTCTCTAAAATCCTTCTCTCATTTGTCTCACGCTTTGGATTATATAGGAATTTAACCTTTTCTTCCTCACTTTACGCTAAACACGCGTTCGGAAAAAACTGTTTTTGAAACTCTCGTGCATACGCAGTGCTTGACCGCTGTGTTGCTCATTGTTTGTATGGTAAGGCGAGCCCCAACATCTGCACCTTACAAAGCGAGCACAGCTACGGGCGTGTTAGAATCTGTATTAAAATTCAGCATTATGGAGAAGTGGGATGAAAATAAGAAGATATGTAGCCGTCTGGTTTAGTAAAACGAAAATTAAAAAGCAAGGGACTGAGGGATCTCTCTATTTTGAAGAGTGAAGGGCTGAAAGAAGAGGGCGGGGAAGTACATCTATTCGGAAACTACTTAGCCCTTAGTTTTCAAGCAAAAGACAGACATTACCCCTCGGCTGGAATGAGGCATGTAATATTGATGAAATTGTGATCCGGTGGTGGATAACGCCGATGCAGGCAATTTTTGAAATAGTAGGGTAAACAGTTTAACTATGGATTTTGAGCGCCAATCGCCCTGAGCTTTATCCGATTGATGATTTTTAAGGGGGCGTTAGATTTACAGATGACGACCGCTAAACCAAAGGAATAGCCAGCGTAAAGAACCGAAAACTAAGCATTAGTCTACTCCTAAAGTAGAAAGATGCAATCGCATTCTAGTGATAACTGACCTAATGGGAATATATCGCGGCAATTATCAGCGCTGGCAAGTTTCCAGTAGGATCAGGTGCTGTGACTTCAAAACGCATTAATTTACTGTAGTAATCATCACTATACGGTTCAGAGTTTGGCCGTTTATTGCATAACAGCGGATTGCTGCATTCATTTACCTTGAATGTGCCAATGGCAGTGAGTGCTTCACTGAAATGTTCCGAAGTCGTCGCGCCACGACGATTATTTAATTTTGTCCCCTTTGCCTTGAGAGCGGTGCGAGCTTTCAATTCTGTATCACTAGTCTTCATCATGCCAATTAATAAAGACAATTAAAGTTGGTGTGAAATTCCTTGAAGTATTTGGTGAACACTCTGATTTCAACACCACCATTAATGGAACTGAATACTTAGGTAAAAAATGAAAATAAAAAACGCGTTAAAAGGATAAGACAAACATTAGATTTGTGGAACATGCTAAGAATTCAAGTTAGCATAAAGTGCGAAACGATAAATTCAAGAAATTTTCAATTTTTCTTGAAGGTTTTTGGGACATCGGACTTGATACGTAAGTTTCTACTTTTTACCTTTGCATCATGTCTTTTCATAGCTAATTGCGATCTTTAGAGACCATAAGTTGTCCAACAAAGAGACAGTAAGTCCAATTTACTCAGAGATACACATGCAGCAGATGAACTATGGTAATTTTTAACCGTCGGGTAATTTGAGTTGCTGGGCAAGAAATTTTGTAGCAGTGGAATGTTATACAATGTTTAGGTGAGTTCAGTTGACCACTTGCGATATCTCACTTAGGACGATGAATTACGCAATTCTGTCAACAGAGACGGATATTATTGGTTAAACATGTCCTATGACTTTCATAATTGTGAAATAATTTCTTAGATGTAACCGGCGTGATTCCAACTGCGAGATCAACTGCCCGTCTTAGTTATGTTTAGTGTTGGTTCATCACCGCGACAAGTTCATGCATTTACTAGCGAGCCATAATCCGATGCGTAGCCTTTGAGGAAC